CCCATGCCTTCCCATGCCTTCCCATGCCTTCCCATGCCTTCCCATGCCTTCCCATGCCTTCCCATGCCTTCCCATGCCTTCCCATGCCTTCCCATGCCTTCCCATGCCTTCCCATGCCTTCCCATGCCTTCCCATGCCTTCCCATGCCTTCCCATGCCTTCCCATGCCTTCCCATGCCTTCCCATGCCTTCCCATGCCTTCCCATGCCTTCCCATGCCTTCCCATGCCTTCCCATGCCTTCCCATGCCTTCCCATGCCTTCCCATGCCTTCCCATGCCTTCCCATGCCTTCCCATGCCTTCCCATGCCTTCCCATGCCTTCCCATGCATCCCCATGCCTCCCCATGCCTCCGTGCACCCCCTTCATCGCCTGCATCATGTCTTGCCCCCAATAGGTGGTGGACGAGGCGGACCAGCTGCAGTCACAGTTCTACCACGACTGGCTGCCGCTCACCCTCGCCTCCGTTGCGGCTGCCCCTTCCATTGCCACTGCCCCACTTGTTTCTTTTGTACATAACACCTCCTCTCGCCCTCCCCGTTCCCCTTCATCCCCGGTCTGTGATCCCTGTGAGCCCTCAGCCATCACTGGATGTTATGCGCTGCCCTCATGTTCCCCTGTTTCCCCCCCCCCCCCCCCCCTGGTTCCCCTTTTTCCGCCCCTGGTTCCCCTGTCCCCCCCCCCTGGTTCCCCTGTTTCCTTTCCCGCCCTGGTTCCCCTGTCCTCCTCTCCCCCCCTGTCCTCCTCTCCCCCCCTGTCCTCCTCTCTCCCCCCTGTCCTCCTCTCCCCCCCTATCTTCCTCTCTCCCCCCTGTCCTCCTCTCTCCCCCCTGTCCTCCTCTCTCCCCCCTGTCCTCCTCTCTCCCCCCTGTCCTCCTCTCTCCCCCCTTTTAGCATCCCTTCCTCTCTCCTCTCATCCATTCCTCCCTTCTATTATCCCTTCCTTACCTCTCTGAGCCCTTCCTCCCCTCTCTTGTTCTTTTTCAACCCTGCTATTGTCTTCAACAGGCAAGTAACTTGGAAGTACTTGGGTGGTTTCACGACCATGTAACTCTATTTCATCGTTGCGCAGATGTGCGTTTTGTCCCAGTTCTGCGGTCACCAGTGCGTGACACTGGGCGGAAACCTGGAGGGTGCACTATCAGCCACTGGGCAGCCTTCTAGATATTTTTATCTCCGTGTCCGTCTTGCTTGCCCTCTGTTTTGACTGTGCCTTTTGCCAATTTCTCCTGCTTGCACCCTGTGATTCACCTGTGTTCCCTCCCTTCCCTTTTCTAATTTCCCTGACCAGTCCTTCCCACCTTCCCTGACATTGTGAGCTTTGCTTTACAGAATAGAGCAACTAAGTACGATTTGATTTCATTTGAGGCCACTCGGTGCCCTCATTGTGCCTTCATTGATACTGTACTCAAGTTGCTGTTCATGCTGCTGTCATGGTAGCCTCTGTTAGTTTTGTTGGTAACCCTTTTACAGTAGATCAGGATACAAATCAGGCGATAAGATGTAAACCTTGACACAAGTATTCGATATTTGAGACCAACTACACATGACATTAGCATGCAGTATCAGGATACAAGACAAGCTCAAACCATTACGCTAGTGTTGTGTGTTTCCATTGTGAATCTGCAAGCTGTTCCCATTATGCAATGTGGCTCGTCTGGGCCTTAGAGATGCTGAAAGCAGGAGCAAGGGGAGACGGCACGTCCATGCAGGTCGTCTGGGCCTCTGTCACGCTCGCCTGGGATGGTGAGGGGTGAGGGATAGGACAGGGCGGGGTGGGGGATAGGACAGGGCGGGGTGGGGGAATGGGGGGAAGCAGGGAAGGGAATGGGGGGGAAGCAGGGAAGGGAATGGGGGGAAGCAGGGAAGGGAATGGGGGGAAGCAGGGAAGGGAATGGGGGGAAGCAGGGAAGGGAATGGGGGGAAGCAGGGAAGGGGATGGGGGGGAGCAGGGAAGGGGATGGGGGGAAGCAGGGAAGGGGATGGGGGGAAGCAGGGAAAAGGACACAGGGACGCAGGGAAGGGGATGGGGGGAAGCAGGGAAGGGCGTGGGGGGAAGCAGGGACGGGGACATGGGGGGAAGCAGAGAAGGGACACGGGGGAAGCAGGGAAGGGGACATGGGAAAGCAGGGAAGGGGATGGGGGAATGTAAGGGAAGGGGATGGGGGGAGAAAGGGAAGGGGATAGGGGGAAGCATGGAAGGGCGTGGGGGGAAGCTAAGGACGGGGACATGGGGGGAAGCAGACAAGGGGATGGGGAGAAGCATGGAAGGGCGTGGGGGGAAGCAGGGACGGGGATGGGGGGAAGAAGAAAAGGGGATGGTGGGCAGCTGGGAAAGGGACATGGGGAAGCAGGGAAGGGGATGGGGAAAAGCAGGAAAGGGACACGGGGAAGCAGGGAAGGGGATGGGGGGAAGCAGGGAAGGGGATGGGGGGGAGCAGGGAAAGGGAAATGGGGAAGCAGGGAGGGGGATGGGGGAATATAAGGGAAGGGGATGGGGGGAAGAAGGGAAGGGGATGGGGGGAAGCAGGGAAGGGGATGGGGGGAAGCAGGGAAGGGGATGGGGGGGTTTGGGGAAGGGGACATGGGGAATGAGAGAGGTAAGCGGTGTGGAGGTGGAAGGCGATTATTAGGGTAAGCGCTACCGTGTGTGTGGGTTTGAAAGGGGTCGTGACTGGTCCAAATGAGTTGGGGAAGGGAGGGTGACGGGCGGAAGGGATGGCGACGGCGGAAGGGAGGGTGACGGGCGGAAGGGAGGGTGACGGGCGGAAGGGATGGCGACGGCGGAAGGGAGGGTGACGGGCGGAAGGGATGGCGACGGCGGAAGGGAGGGTGACGGGCGGAAGGGATGGCGACGGCGGAAGGGAGGGTGACGGGCGGAAGGGATGGCGACGGCGGAAGGGAGGGTGACGGGCGGAAGGGATGGCGACGGCGGAAGGGAGGGTGACGGGCGGAAGGGATGGCGACGGCGGAAGGGAGGGTGACGGGCGGAAGGGATGGCGACGGCGGAAGGGAGGGTGACGGGCGGAAGGGATGGCGACGGCGGAAGGGAGGGTGACGGGCGGAAGGGATGGCGACGGCGGAAGGGAGGGTGACGGGCGGAAGGGATGGCGACGGCGGAAGGGAGGGTGACGGGCGGAAGGGATGGCGACGCATGGCAGAAGGGAGGGTGACGGGCGGAAGGGATGGCGACGGCGGAAGGGAGGGTGACGGGCGGAAGGGATGGCGACGGCGGAAGGGAGGGTGACGGGCGGAAGGGATGGCGACGGCGGAAGTGAGTGCGACGGGCGGAAGGGAGGGTGACGGGCGGAAGGGAGGGCGACGGCGGAAGTGAGGGTGACGGGCGGAAGGGATGGCGACGGCGGAAGTGAGTGCGACGGGCGGAAGGGAAGGTGACGGGCGGAAGGGAGGGCGACGGCGGAAGTGAGTGCGACGAGCGCTAGGGAGAGCGACGGGCAGTAGGGCGACGGCGTGAGGGAGTTTGATGGGCGTAAGAGAGTGCGACGGGTGCGTCGAACGTACATGTGAGGCTAGCGCCCGATCCGTGCGCTTGATCCGTGCGCTTCGAACGTAACATGCGAGCTCCATCGACCCTGTAGATTTGGGCGTGACGCATGACGTTTTTCTTTATGCTGGCTACGCATAATTTCGTTGGAGGGGAAAACCGTCAGACTGCTGCAAGGTTCTAGACATCTCGTCGCCATTGTCTAGAAGCGATATTACGCGCTCTTGTGGTCTAGAAAAGCGGAGCGCACTACGTGTCCTAGACTCAATATGGCTGCACGTAAGTACAACTTGGTTTTCAAGTTTACTGAGGGTGAACAGTGGACCAACTCCCGTTGACACTTCACGCGGAATACTTTTTTTTGGTCGCTGGCCAATCATGCATCAGAGTCGTGAAGGAAAGCTGCACTTCGGGTGGTAACCTGGTGTTTGGCGAGTTCATATTCAAGAATCTTGAATTTGAAAAATGCCATGTGGAACTCGGGCTTTAATCTTTGCTTTTGACGTGGCACTTGAGGAGCTTCTTCACATCGCAACTGTGAAGTGGCATCCACCGTGAATGAGGCGTGCTTGCATCTGGCTTGGACGCCACGCGGGCTGGTTTTGCCAAATCACATAGCCAGCGGTGATTTCTCCCATGCATGTCAAGGAATGTTCAGGGTTTTTTCACCATGAGGAGAGGCGGCGCCTGGTCAGCAGAGTGCGTGTGTCGCTGCGGGGAGGAAGCGTTCCGCAAATGGGGGAAGTGTCTAGAAGAAAGAGAAGCATATGGAAATAAAAGATTCCCCTGACTGCATCAACTGTATACAGCTGATGCCCGTCCAGTGCACGCGAAATTGCCATGCACCGGATGGAAACGCTGCCCCCGAACAGGAAACCCCCGCTTGCTGCTCCCACAGTACAAGCACACGGGTGGCAGGAAACAGTGCTCGCGACTCGGCCATTTTAGCACGTGCAGTCCCGAACAACCAACGCCGACCCTGGTGTGCCTTGTTTCCAGGCCAGGAGTCGGACCTGCGAAACCGAATGGACGAAACGAAAGCGGCTTCGTTAACGCATTCGCAATCTGCCCCGCCACCTAAGCGAGGATCATCGTGCGTGTAACAGACAATGTGGGCAGATTCACACTGCCACGTGTAATCTGCCCATGTTGGGTACAAGCGCATTTGCAGCCAGGCGTTGTTCTCATACACCACGTCATTCATTTGATCGTATAGTTACCAACCCATACGATCAAATGTGCAAGTCAGGTGCATGGAACGAACTCCAGCCACACAAATGTGACTAGCCCCAAAGAACAGACCCCAACCTTGCCCCATCACGGCCAAAATCTGCCGATAAAATGAGAGCAACTAATTCACTAAGTCAGCAGTAACTCACAGCCCAGCCTCACACAATGCCCCGGTTTAATCGACGGGAGCAGCTCCCCCTCCATATCAAGCGCGCCCTTTGCGCGCACCACGTCGAACACCCCCTCCTTCGTCATGTCGACCTAGCTAGATGGTGTTACTCACAGTACGGGTTGCGCCCGGATCGCTCCACGATCGGCCGCATCTTGAAGAGCGCCGAGCGGTGGGCTGTCACGGCAAACGGCGACAACCAGGTGCGCCGTCGAGGTGGCGCATGGCCGGAGCTGGAGCAGGCCATGGCGCGGTGGATCGCAAACGCAGGCCCGGCCGGTGTGCCCCTCACACTTCAGACCATCCGCGACCATGTCGCGACGATGGCGAGGAACATGGGCATTCCGCCCACCTTCCGCTGCTCCATCGGCTGGGTGCGCCGTGCTTTGCGGCGCCAAGGGGTGCGGTGCCGTGCTGCACAAGGCGAGGCGGCAAGCGCGGACATGGCGGCCGTGCGCGACGCCCGTGAGAAGATGCCGCAACTCCTCACGCATCTCGGCGTCGCCCCGAGGGACACCTTCAACCTTGACGAGACGGCGCTATGGCTGTCGGTGCTTCCGCGGCGAACGTACAGCAGCGGCCGCATACCAGGGCGCAAGAGCTCCAAGGAGCGACTCACCGTCGCATTCCTCGTGAATGCGGACGGTAGCCATGCATTCCGCCCGCTTGTGATAAGCAAGGCGAAGAGGCCGCATGACTTCCGCCCGGATTATGACCCAGAGGCTCTTTGCTACTGGCGGCACAACGCGAAAGGCTGGATGACCTCGCCGGTAAGCAAGTATTTTTATTGTGCTTGGGTTTACTGTTGTTGCTCGTCACTAATACCGCCATATGTGGGCGTACTCATAATGTTTCCTTGTGCACCCCTTCCTTCCCTCTCTTCCCGTCCTACAGTTATTTACGCATTTCATTTCGCAACTTAACGCTGCGATGACGGCCGAAGGTCGCAAAATCGTGGTGCTGCTCGACAACGCGAGCAGCCACATGCTCCGATCTGAGCATGCATGGAGCGAGATCGTGTGCGGCGTGCGGACCACGTGCATGAGCAACGTGCGGCTTGTCTTCTTGCCGCCAAACACCACCGCATTTACTCAGCCGCTCGATCAGGGCATAATCGCCACTACGAAGGCCCGCTACCGCCAGCATTGGTTGCGGGCCTTCTCGGGGTTGTGGAACGCCGACGGCGCGACTTCCTCTGTGGCGCGTTTCCGGCCGAATTTGCGCGATGTCCTCGGGTGGCTGTCGGACGCCTGGACCTCCGTCGGCGCGCGCACCATCCAACGGTGCTGGTGGCGCACGGGGTGTCTTCCCCTCTCGTGGTCCTTGGACCTGACGCACGTGCATGACGACGAGCCCATTCCCGCCGCTTACCCCGACATTGAGCTCGACGACGACATCGACGATGTCGGGACGCTTATTAGCGGGCTCGCCCTGGGGAATGCGGCGATGACGGCGGCAGAGTACGTGGCCATCGACGACGGCGAGCCTACGTGTGCGGAAGGCGCGGCGGGACCTACGGTGACTGAGGCGGAGACGGGACTGGGGGTGGAGCTCTGGCAGGCGCCGACGACCATGCAGGCCGTCTACGAGAGAGCCGACCCCGTGGGCCGTGAGGCGCGGCGCACTGCTCGTGCGGCATGCGAGATGCTCATCGGGTATGCAAGGGCCACCCGCATCACGCCGCGCGATCTGTGCGCTCTTTTCGACATCCGCAATCCTGTCATAATCGAGCGGATGGAGCGGGCGAGCCCGGGATTCAATCTCAACGTGGCGCCTCAGCTCGTGCCCTCCCCCGGCGCAACTCCCACTCCCGAGACCCCTCGTCCGCGCGGCCGTGTGCTGCCCGGCTGGATGACCCGTCCGTCCCGCCGTCAGCAGCTGCTTGACGCCGGGGTGGGCGCAGTGATGGACGGCTATGTCAACGCGGCTGAATGGATGCGTCTGTGAGAGGGGGTGGAGCAGTCTGTGCAATGTGTCGAATGCATTTTGCAGGGCACAACTGATCAATCCTTGTGCCCATTTGGGGGTGTTTCGTTTTGTGCGTTGTGTGGTTATGGGGGGCCAGGTGGAAGATGTTGATTGGATGTTGAAGTTGTGATTGTTGTTTTGTACTATGGAGAACAATTGCTGTGCCTTCCTGTTTCAGTACTGTGGCGTTCGTTTAGTAACCTCGAACACACAAAGCAGACAAGTGCTGCAAACCCTCACTGTTACGAACCGGACAAACAGGGTGGTTACCACGTGCAGGTTAGAAGCACGGCAGACGCGTGACGAAACGAACGAACCTCAAGCGAAATAAGGTTTAGCTTACAGTCCCAAAGCACAAGGCAACCGGGAGGGGCTCTAACGAGCATCAGGTGTAATGCTGTACTTCCGTCGTTTCCATCTCAGATTGCCCATTGTTCTGAAGTACACCCAAGGGGTCCTGAATTCGGAAAATCAAGAAATAGGTTTCTGCTGCTTTTTGGGTAGTCTCAAATGATTGCACCCGGAAACGGGTGACTACGAGCCACATGTTCCCTGACCGAGTGAAATTCCTTCCCAGGCTTGGCGGAAGCCTGCTGGGAGACCAGCGCATGGGGCTGCCACATTGAAATGCGGCTGGAGGCCCGCTTCATTGCATTCAAGTTCCATTTTCTTGCTTGCCAAGCTCTCGCATCTTTCGCTTCTTGTGACCTCAGCTCACTCAGTTTTCCTTAGCAGTCGATTCACTATTAGTCGACATGGCGGCAGTAGCAGAGCAGAACAAGATGCTAGAGGAGGTGGAGTCGATCTATAAAAACCTGGTCGGCATCCGCGACAAGCTCAAGGCGATGAAGGAGGAGCCGAAGCAGCACAGCCAGGAAGAGGTGCACCACTTTCAGCAAATGCTCGACGCCATCGATTCGCGTCGCAAGGACGGCATCTTTGCAGGCTCCCTCAAGACTGGCATTCCCGAGGGTCAAGCACTCTGCCTTGAAGTGCTGGACGAATCCTATGGTACGTCTACCTCTAGAGCTCCGTTTACGTTAGCGTTTTATGACCTATCTGCAGAGCGTTGAAAGCTCATCTTCACAGCCTGAGAAGTGTCCATGAAATCAATTAATCTCCAGCCCGTTTTCATGTTTACGTGTCGTTAAATTCCTTCCGACAGACCTCGTGAGCGCACTGATGGCGGAGACGCCGGAGTTGTCTCCGGAGATTCGGCACATATACACGACACTGGCGGGAATCAAGAACAAGCTGATCAAGCTCAAGGCGTCGCGCACGTACGCGCTAGACGACGTGCACCACTACCAGCTCATGGTCGACTCCATCGACGCCGCGCGCAAGGACGGCATCTTCGGCGGAGACGTCAACAACATCCCTTCGGGCCAGGCGCTCTGCGCCAACATGCTGTTTCAAGTATACGGTGAGTCGTCAGTCAATCTCTTCACCCGTAAGAGGATTTCGCAAATGGATAATATGTTTCTGAAGGGATTAATCTGCGTCTGCTTTTGCCAGTTCGCCCCAATTGCTTACAAAAGCCTTTCGGAAACTTTCTCTAGCCACGACCCTCTTTCCGTCCAACTTGTTTCTCTTTTCGCGCTCATCCCCCTCCCGCCTTCCCTTCCCCGCCCTTCCCGACGCGCAGAGCTGCTGCGGCAGCTGCTGGCGTCGGCGCCGGAGATGAACCCGCAGATGCGCGGCATCTACTCGCACCTGGCGGGCATTCGGCGCAAGCTGGCGGAGATGCGGCAGCACAACGTGGCGCACACGTGCGAGGACCTGCAGATGTACCAGGTGCAGCTCGACGCCATCGACAAGGACCGCGAGGACGGCATCTTCGGCGGCTCGCTCTCCACCAAGGTGCCCGCGGGGCAGGCGCTGTGCGCCACGCTGCTCGCGCACTGCTACAAGCTCGTGGAGGAGCTGCAGGAGACGGCCTCGGACGCTTAGACGCGCCAATGTGGGGCGCAGAGGCGCCAATGTGGTATGAGGCGCCGATTTTGGGGGAGGGATGTGGGTGTTGTTGGGGACGTGGGGCGGAGAGGGAATTTGGGAAGTGTGCGGTGGGCAGGCAGGCGGTTTGCAGTGCATGTGGGGCAATGGGGGCATCGTAGGACGGTCCTGTGAGGTTTCTGAGTGTTGGATGAGCGGTGGAAGCAGTGCTGTTGGTTGTTGATGTTTATAATTGGTTATATTATGAGAAATATCTTTCCCCCAAAGCATTTCATTGAAAAGCACTCTTGGATGAGAATGTACTTATGGTTTCTCAAACCAGGCTGATTCTTCTTGAAAAGCCTTGAAAACCTATAGAGAAGTATGAAGTTTTTGAAACTGAGAACAGTAAGTGTTCTCAGGTGTAGGGCGGGTGTGCATAATTAAGTAAATTTGAGGGTTTACGCCAGATTTGACTGTGATGTGGGCATCAAGGGATAACCCCTGATGCCCACCCAGGTGAATGTGCACCCCGGTTTTAAGGCTTGATATAAATAGCTTACCTACTGCGTATGCATAAAAGAAAACCACTGCTTGTATGCCGCAGAATAAGACAAGGGAAAACAAAACTGCCCTGCAATGCCGCACTGCACCACTTTGAACTGCACATGGCTGCACTGTATTGTTCTGGAGCAAACTGCACTAGCCAGAAGGACACCTGTGTTGGCTTCTGTCCCATTCCCCCTCTCCACTTTTCTAGTTTCTGCCTGTGCCTTCCCCTTCCTCTCACGCTCCCACTGCCTCTGCTCCTGCAAGACTCAGAGCAAACAGCAGTTGCGGACAACAGCAGTCGGCATGGACTGAAAGGGGAGACGCCATCCTCTCTGGTGCGCCTCTGTAGAACAGGGAATGCGGCCTGGTGGGTGGAGAGGGAGATGGGGGGTTGGGGAGGAATGCGATTCAGGGAAGAAAGAGTGTGTTGGAAGGACATGAATAAGCAGATGGATTCGCCTCGCTCGCATCTCCCTCCCATCACTCTCATCACTTCCCTCCCCTCATGCGATGACATCCACCACCTCACCTCAACCACAGCCTCGTACCAACCCTCTCGTTGGTCCCAAAACCACCATCCCCACGCACCACCCACCTCCCCAACAGAGACAGTGCATGCACAGATGCAAGCGGGCAGCACAGAGGGAAGGCAATTCCTGCAAGATGGCTTTTGCCGCCCACTGCTGCACCCACACATAGGCAGTGGGGACGGCACAAGGGGGCGAGAGAGAGAGAGAGAGAGAGAGAGAGAGAGAGAGAGAGAGAGAGAGAGAGAGAGAGAGAGAGAGAGAGAGAGAGAGAGAGAGAGAGAGGGAGAGAGAGCGAGGAAGTGCCATTGAAGAGAAAAAGGGTGGGGGAGAGGGCGGGGGAGTCAACAGGGAAAGGAAATGGGTTGAAGGGAGAGGAACATTATTCAGAAGTAGGTTGGCAGTAGCAAGAGAGGAGGTGGGTGAGAGAGGAGGGACCATTGAGAGAGGGAGGAGGGCCCAAGGGTAAAGAAAATGGATAAGAGGGAGAGAAGGAAGGGGGAACAGGCGAAACGAGTGTAAAGACGGTTTAGGGTTGGGACGTTAAATACTGTAACGTTGGGGAATGAGGTCCAAGGCACGGGCATGGTGTGCATGCGTGCATGTGCACTGGGAGACGCGCATGGACATGCGTGGTTGAGCGCATGCATGGCTGCGCCACATCAAGCCTCCCCCACCTGGCTCTGCTGTGATGAATTGGCAGCCCCGGTGGAAGCGGCGCGTGCAGGGAGAGATGCGAGGCGATGACGTGGCTTGGTGTGACGCCACGCAACGACCACGCAGCGCCACGTCAGCGACACGGAAGTCCGCGATGGGAGATGAAGCAACGCGCCATGATGCCCGCCAGCTCATGCCTTCCATGCCCCGATTAGAGGGGAGATGCAAGGAAGCGGGAGAGGGAGGGGCCGAGATAGGTAGGAGAGAGGGGAGATGAGGGGAGAGGGGGGAGATGAGGGGAGAGGGGAGGGGAGAGGGGAGGCCAAGATACGTGGGGGTTGACTATGCAACGGCAGTGCCGCCGTCGGCCGAAAGAGAAGGAGGAGACGAGGGGAGGGTGGAACGACTGAAAGCTACGATGTGAACTCATCCCCTCTTAGCATTAACTCCATGGCTGGTGACATACCCTCTACTAAACGGCTCCCTGAATTGTACTGACTTCGTATCGACTGTATATTATACTGTTATTATGGGTGAGTTTACCCGGACTGTCTGAGTGAGGGAGCGCATTTGACAGAGAAACTATCAACGGGAGGGAGGTGAGAGAGGTGGGCAGTGCGAGAGGTGGGCAGTGCGAGCGACGATCACGGGGCAGCTGGCAGGCGGGCCGCAGCTATGCAGTGCGACGGATCGGCGCACGTGGAAAAAAGACGTCGCGGCAGAGACGGCGGGGTGACGGGAGAGGGCGGCAAGACGACTGGCTTGACGGCGAGGTGCGTTGAACAAAGGGTAGAGCAGTTGACGCGTGAGACACGCCGGTCGGCATCACGACGCCTATTATATCATACCTATTGAAAGATTCTCGTGTCAGCCGGTGAGCGGAAAAGAGCCGGTGAGAATCTCGACGCCGGTATTGACCGCAATTGACCTTGCCCACTACCATTGGATAGATTTGCATTGTCCGATTAGTTGCACATGGCCGATTGACGACAGGCGAATCATCGGACACACATTCGCAAAACACATCGCCACTACACCAATAGCACAGCACATCGCGCAAATCCATCATATTTTGAATTACACCGATTGGTCGATCTTGGATTGCGGGGATTTGGAACGACCACTCCGGGAGACTTGGTTGGAGGATGGAAACCAAGCCCCGGTGCGCGAGTGATGCGTCAGCGTCCAATCACAGCTGCAGCAGATCAACGCCTCTCAATCCCCGAGCTCACCATTCTTGAGTACAAAACTGGCATCTATCACTCAGAACAGCAATCGTCGTTCTCATTTTCTCCAGGAATTTCATATCACAGCTTTGTTTCTTCACAATGGCTGCCCTCGCCAACGCTGCTGTGCTCCCCTCCACCTTCGTCGGCCAGAGCGCTGAGCTCGCCGCCAAGGTGAACAATGTCGAGGCCCGCGTGACGATGAGGAAGACCGCCAAGGCGGCTTCCAGCAGCGCCTTCTACGGCCCCGACCGCAACCTGTTCCTGGGCCCCTACACCTCCCCCCCGTCGTACCTCACCGGCGAGTACCCCGGCGACTACGGCTGGGACACCGCTGGTCTGTCCGCTGACCCCGAGACCTTCGCCAAGAACCGCGAGCTGGAGGTACGTTTGTATGCAGGATGTACCGTTTTAAATGTAGCAATTTCAATGTATGCGAGTTCTTGACTTCCGATTCTTCATTTTCTTTGCTGGATTCGGAATTTTGACCGAATCCACCCTTTCTTCGCTGGCTTTCAATTGATCAGGTGATCCACGCCCGCTGGGCTCTTCTCGGTGCCCTCGGCTGCCTGACCCCCGAGCTCCTCGCCAACAACGGCGTTGAGTTCGGCGAGGCTGTGTGGTTCAAGGCCGGCGCTCAGATCTTCTCCGAGGGTGGCCTGGACTACCTCGGCAACCCCAGCCTGATCCACGCGCAGTCCATCCTGGCCATCTGGGCCACCCAGGTCATCCTCATGGGTGCCGTCGAGAGCTACCGCGTGGGTGGCCTCGAGGGCTTCCAAGAGGTTGAGGACCCCCTGTACCCCGGCGGTGCCTTCGACCCCCTGGGTCTGGCTGACGACCCCGATGCTCTTGCGGAGCTCAAGGTGAAGGAGCTCAAGAACGGCCGCCTCGCCATGGTGTCGATGTTCGGCTTCTTCGTCCAGGCCATCGTGACCGGCAAGGGTCCCCTGGAGAACCTGTCCGACCACCTGGCTGACCCCACCGTGAACAACGCCTGGGCCTACGCCACCAACTTCACCCCCGGTGCTTAAATATTTTGCCCTTGCTGTACATTTATCTCTAGTACATTAGTTCCAAGCCAATTTCAGTTCTACCATAGAGCTAAGACAGTTGTCTCGCCGTGTTTTACTAGCATCCTGTGCCAAAGTTGCCAAAGATCATAACGGGGGTTGAATATTCAGCAGAAAAATTAACGAGCAGGGTTCACGATTGACGCTGGCTTGTACCTCGCACACGATTAAAGCTGTGACAGAACCTAAAGGATATATGGATAGTACGGTAGGAGCTCTCCAAAATTCTAGAAAAAAAACAAATATCGTTCGCCGCCGCCTAGGCAGTGCGTTCATGACAGCTCTGTGGCTGTATGCTTACGGAAAACGTGCTTGAAAGCCGTTTTGACGTGAAGCAATTGGGAAATTTGATTAGGAGGGCCAAAATTCTTTGTTCATTCTAGCAGTCCAAGCCTAACCCGCCTCTTACACAAGCAATACAATATCGTACCATGACGTACACGAGTAAAATACCCAAGAAGAAAAGAAAAGCCCACTCTGAAACCCACAAAGAACAACCCCAAAAAACTTTAATAATAAAATAAAATAAAAAGTGTATGTGAACCCTTGCAGCAGCATAAGTGCCTTGATGCTGAACACGCTGGGCTTGAGATTTGAGTGTTGCTATTGGCTCCTCCCACTGCTGCACCGGAAAGGAAAGAGTAGAGGAACAAGACGAAAAGAAACACAGCAAAATGAGGGGCTGGATATGCTTGCTCAAGGTGGATGGGGAAAGATGAAGGAACCAGAGGGGCATGATAGTATGGTATGTGGTGACCTGCAAGGGGTTCGTGTTAGAATATATATTTATATATATTTATGTACCTGCCTGTAGCTGTAGCTTTAGTGTAGTTATAAACTCTTTGTATTGGTGGTGCACCTCCTTTGTCTCCTATTTGTACCCTCGAGCCTATAGTGAACCCCCCTTCTTTGTTTGGCCAACACTCTCTCCCACCAAACCCTAAGGCTCTCTCTAGCTACTATTCTAACATGGTACAGAGCAATAATCGGTCCTATTTTTTTTTAGGATCATGGGTCCCGCGTTTCGCTCTCTGCAGGCCCCACTCGATTCGCGCTCCGAAGGCATACTCGTCGCGCCCCGTGCGCCCTCCTTCCCGTCGCCCGCGGCCCCACGTTTCGGCGCCCCGCGGGTCACCCGAGTCGCGCCCCGTGTGCCCTCCCGTTCGTCGCGCCCCGCTGCGCCCTGCTCTGCCTGTTCGTCGCGCCCCGTGCGCCCTCCAGTTCGTCGCGCCCCGATGCGCCCTACTCTGCCCGCGTCGCCCTGCCCGTCGTCCGCGCCAACGCCCACACCTGCGCCAGCACTTCGCGGCCAGCGCCAGTGCGGAACGCAGCGCCAGCGCGTGCGCAAGCGCGAAGCGCCAGCGCTGCGCCAGCCGCGAGGCGCCAGCGCCTGCGCCATCCACGCACGCCAGCGCTTGCGCCAGCAGGGGACGCCGGCGCCGGCAGCTCCGTATGCCGCCCCCCCCCCCCCCCCCCCCCCCCCGCCCTTCCCTTCCGCGGCTCCCGCCGTGGGGGGGGGGGACGGGAGTTCTGGGGGCGGAGGGTGTGAACCACCAGTAGCTCGTCCCTCCCCCACTCTCCTTCCCTCTTACTCTCTCCCTGCAGCACTTGTTGCTGTCGGGGAGAGGGGGGGGGGGGGGAGAGATGCTAAGGGAGGGTAAGAGAGAGTGGTGGAACCAGTAGCCACGCATCTGCAGCTGCCGTCCACTGCTATGTGGCACCTACTTCTGCAGCCCCTGACGCTTCTCTCTCTTCGTTCGTCTTCTTTGCTGTTGAGCTGCAAACTAAGCGCGCCACAGCACATCGTCTTCGTTCGTCTTCTTTGCTGTTGAGCTGCAAACTAAGCGCGCCACAGCACATCGTCTTCGTTCTCTCTTTCTTGCCTCAGGGCTTGCTGCAGCTGTCTCTGCCACCACTGCACTGGTTGTCATTGCACTTGCCTCCTGTTGCTGCTTTCTCTGTTCGTGGTGTACCCATCCAGGAGTTGTTGCTGCACAAGCTCCTGCTGCAGGCAGTTATGGGGGAGTGTTAGAATATATATTTATATATATTTATGTACCTGCCTGTAGCTGTAGCTTTAGTGTAGTTATAAACTCTTTGTATTGGTGGTGCACCTCCTTTGTCTCCTATTTGTACCCTCGAGCCTATAGTGAACCCCCCTTCTTTGTTTGGCCAACACTCTCTCCCACCAAACCCTAAGGCTCTCTCTAGCTACTATTCTAACATGCGTTCGGGAGAATGCGCAGCTCACCTTTTTTTCCTAATACATGAACCCTTAATAATATCCCGTTGGAGGGGATCGCATGCACTGTTTGTTCCTCATGGTGTATCCAGTCTTGCACCAACACAGAGGCTTGGTGCCCACCACTGCACACTCCGCGTTGCGGGGACAGGCAGGCTTGCAAATGGCTGCACGAGGGGAACGCAGCGCACGGGAGATGTGGGGTGAAAGTGAAGCATTGAGGAGCCCAAACTGTCAAGATAGTAAGGACAGTGAGAAGCCATAGCTAGGGTTGACCTAGCTAGGCAAGCAAGAAATGAACAAAGGAGGGGTTGCACTAGTAAGAATGGGGATACAAATAGCAAACCCTAGAAGGGTTGTACTCGCTATAGAGCACCCCACTACAGGCTAGAGCATAATATTCTGACACACCCCCATAGCCAAAGTGGGGTGTAATCAGCAGAGCAAGCAAAACAGTACAAGCTCAGGGTGGATCACAATGTCACCACACATTCTGAGCACAAGTTCAAGAAGCAATAGTTTAAAGTTCACAATTATGAGCAAAGCCAGTGGTAGTCACAACGGGCAAGTGAGGAGGAGGAAAGAGACTATGAGAGGAGAGGAGGTAGTGGGCGGCAGCTGAAGCTGCTGGCACACGGCGCAACTGGAGCAACTGGCACACGGGCAACTGGAGCAACTGGCACACTGGCAACTGGAGCAACTGGCACACGGGCTACTGGAGTAACTGGCTCCGCGGCTGAAAGTAGCGGCAGACGAGCAACGGACTCACGGGCGACTGGAGCAACGGGCTCACGGGCGACTGGCGCAACGGGCTCACGGGCGACTGGCGCAACGGTCTCACGGGCGACTGGAGCTGCTGGCTTCACGGCGGCCACCCCCTTCAACCTCCCCAAACTATCCCACTCCCCCTGACACACACCCGCTGCTACACCGCTAGCTCCACTCCCCCTTCACCCCCCTAGTACCACTCCGACGGCTCCAACAGGTCCACCCCCCTCAGCGGCAGCTGCAGCACAGGGAGACGGAGGAGGAGGAGGAGCAGGGAACGGCACACAGAAGCTGCACCCCCATACCCCCCACCCCCAAACCCTAATCCAGGAGTACGGGCAGAATGAGGGGTGGGGCGCCTTCAGAAGCACGGGGGACAGCGGGGAGGACAGGGGCAGCGAAGAACGGGCCGCCCACGGGTCTGGCACAGCCTCCCGAACCGCGCGCAGGCGGCCCGAGCCGCGCGCGGGCCTGGCGCAGCCCGTACGGGCCGCGCGCGGGCCTGGCGCAGCCTGTACGGGCCGCGCGCAGGCCTGGCGCAGCCCGTACGGGCCGCGCGCCGGCTGTACGGGCCGCGTGCAGGCCACGACGGGCGACGGGGGGCGACGCGCGGGTCCCCGTCGCCCGTCGCAGCGCCTCCCGGGAGCAACGCGCGGTGTGACGGGGCAGAAACCCGCCGCGCGCCTCGGGGCGCACGGCGGGCAGAGAACCGCCGCGCGCCTCGGGGCGCACGGCGGGCAGAAAACCGCCGCGCGCCTCGGGGCGCACGGCGGGCTGAAAACCCTAATTTCAACGCCGCGTACCACGAGGCGCGCGGCGGACAGGGAGTAGCAGTAGCAGCGGAAGCAGTGAAGTGGTGGGCCCACAGGACAGGAGCGTAACCGCTCTGTTACCATGTCAAGATAGTAAGGACAGTGAGAAGCCATAGCTAGGGTTGACCTAGCTAGGCAAGCAAGAAATGAACAAAGGAGGGGTTGCACTAGTAAGAATGGGGATACAAATAGCAAACCCTAGAAGGGTTGTACTCGCTATAGAGCACCCCACTACAGGCTAGAGCATAATATTCTGACACAAACACATACGGTAACAACATGACATGCACATCGGATGTCACAAGGAGCACAAGGTAGAAAGGATGGATGAAGAAGGCCAAACACAATGCAAGTGCGTTTAGTGGAGGCAGCTGTAAGAGTGGGTTTGGGGTACGATGAAAGAAAGAACCTAAAGAGCCACAGGAATTTAGTTTAAGCTCAAATGCTAGTCCCTCACCAGTGCACAGATCGTTCTTCTTGGTGTAGCCCAAACCGCTCTCCCATACTTCACCACGCACACCGCATTTGCTCCACCGCTGCTAGCCGCACAGGGATCGGCGTCTAAGTCAGGGAGGGAGCAGGTGCGGGGGAGGGGATCAAGAGGAAGGAAGAGCGAGAGGGAAGAGAGTGAGGAGCAAGAGGGTGCGATGGAAGAGGGAGAGAAGTAAGAGCGAGAAGCGAGAGAATGAATAGCAGGAGGGTGAGAGGCAAGAGTGAGAACCGAGAGAGCGAGAGGCAAGAGGGTGACAAGGAAGAGGGCGCGAAGCAAGAGGCTCACCAACGCACTGGCCGTTTGTCATGGTGACCCCTTATTGCAGATGCAGGGCGGGTCGGCAGTGGCATTGCAGGTGGAGTTGGTCGGACACACAATGGTGGCACAGGAGGGTGGGGGCGCTGCACACAGCAGGGCAGGGTCGAGCAAGAGGCGAGGGAAAAACGAGGGCAAGAAGTAAGACTGAGGTGAGAGCGTGAGAAGCAAGAGGGAGAGAAAGCAAGAGGGAGAGAAGGAAGAGGGAGAGAAGGAAAAGGCAACGAAGCAAGAGGTCTTGAAGGAAGAGAATGAAATAATGAAAGGGGGAGAAGGAAGAGGGGAAGAAAACGAGGGAGAGAAGGATGAGGGAGAGAAGCAAGAAAAATAGATGAGATGAGGGATGACGGATGACGGAGAGATTGAAAAATGGGAGAAGGAATAGGGGGAAAAGACAGAAGGAGAGAAGCAAGATTGCGAGGCGGAGGGTGAGAAGGACGACGGAGAGAGGCAGGATTGAGAGGCGAGAGGACGAGAAAGAAGAGAGAGAGAATTAAGAGACAAGGAGAGTGATAATCAAGGGTGAGAGGGTGAAATAAAAGTGGGAGACAAGGACGAGGTTGAGAAGAAAGAGGAGGCGCGGGAAAAGGGAGGGAAGGAAACGGGAGGGAGGGAAGAGGGAGGGCAGGAAGAGGGAGGGAAGGAAGAGGGTAAAAAGAATAGTGAGAGAAGGAAGGAGAGAGGGAAGTGAAAGAGCATGAAGAAGGTGAGAAGTGCGAGGCTCACCAACGCACTGGCCGTTTGTCATGGTGAGCCCCTTATTGCAGATGCAGGGCGGGTCGGCAGAAGCATCGCATGTGGAGTTGGTCGGACACACAACGGTGGCACAGGAAGGTGGGGGTGCTGCACACAGCAGGGCAGTGGTGGAGCAAGGGGCGAGGGAAGTAAGGTCGAGGAAGAGGAAAAAGAAGCAAGAGTGAGAGGAAAAAGGGTGTGGAGCAAGAGGAAGAGGCAAGAGGGTGACAAGGAAGAGGGCGCGAAGCAAGAGGCTCACGAACGCACTGCCCATTTATCATGTTGAGCCACTTATTGCAGATGCAGGGCGGGTCGGCAGAAGCATCGCATGTGGAGTTGGTCGGACACACAATGGTGGCACAGGAGGGTGGGGGCGCTGCACACAGCAGGGCAGTGGTGTAGCAAGGGGAGAGGGAAGTAAGGTCGAGGAAGAGGAAAAAGAAGCAAGAGTGAGAGGAAAAAGGATGTGGAGCAAGAGGAAGAGGCAAGAGGGTGACACGGAAGAGGGCGCGAAGCAAGAGGCTCACCAACGCACTGCCCGTTTATCATGTTGAGCCCCTTATTGCAGATGCAGGGCGGGTCGGCAGAAGCATCGCATGTGGAGTTGGTCGGACACACAATGGTGGCACAGGAGAATGGCGCTGCAGATAGCGGGGACGGAACGAACAAGGTGCAAGCAAGCTTTGGTGCTTGAGTGTATGCATACAGATAGCAGGGCAGGGACGAGATGGAAGGGCTGAAGGAAGAGAAGCAAGGGTGGAGGAGATGATTGAGTGGAATGGGTGAATGCTGAGTGACATAGGCACATGTTGGCAGCGGTGCTGAGGGAAGTCATCAGTGCACCAGGCAATGCATCCAGGATCCAAGAAGCTCCACTCAAACTTGCTCTTCTTATGATGCAGCGCCCTCACTAATCTATCGAGACTCATTACCACATTGCTTGTCCTTGGCGCCACTCATTACAGCATTGCTTGTCCTTGGCGCCACTCATTACCGCACTGCTTGTCCTTGGCGCCACTCATTACCACATTGCTTGTCCTTGGCGCCACTCATTACCGCATTGCTTGTCCTTGGCGCCACTCATTACAGCATTGCTTGTCCTTGGCGCCACTCATTACCACATTGCTTGTCCTTGGCACCACTCATTACCGCATTGCTTGTCCTTGGCGCGACTCATTACCTCATTTCTTGTCCTTGGCGCCACTCATTACCACATTGCTTGTCCTTGGCGCCACTCATTACCACATTGCTTATCCTTGGCGCCACTCATTACAGCATTGCTTGTCCTTGGCGCCACTCATTACCGCATTGCTTGTCCTTGGCACCACTCATTACCGCATTGCTTGTCCTTGGTGTAGAAGAATAGAGACCCCGGACACAAACACTCGTTCCTGTTGTCCCTCACAATGCACTTAGCAGCAGACCCACAGTCCAGAATGCTTGAATTGCAGCCTTTGGGTCAAGTATGGGGCGCTTGTAAGGCAGATTGGAGGGAGAAGGAGGGAGTGAGGAGGGAGAAGAATAAGAGTGAGGGTCATCATGGTTAAAATCCAACAACCTATGACACTGGGCAGCAGAGAGTGCATAGAAGAGTAGTGTGCTTGCAGTTGAGCGGGGAAATGGCTTGCAGAAGCATTGCACAAGAATGATGCAACACACCGCATGCATGACAAGGCATGAGGAGGCGTGTGGCACCGCAACACACCGCTTCACACCACAGCACATAGCAAGCTCTGAGGAGTCATAGGTGTGAAGCACGGTGCAGTGCAGTGCGGGCGACGAGCCGTGGCACACGCGTTGCTTGCCCTTGTCATGGTGGGCAAGCGGGTCACACGACTGCGGGTGCAGTCTTGCACGCTTACCTATCCCGCACCTCATTGACACTGGCATTTCGGCGGCAGGAAACGACCTGAGAGCAGCAGCAGCGAGGGCATGAGGGCAGCAGGGGAGCACTGGGGAGCACAGGGGAGCACAGAGGAGCACAGGGGAGCACAGGGGAGCACAGGGGAGCACAGAGGAGCACAGAGGAGCACAGAGGAGCACAGAGGAGCACAGAGGAGCACAGAGGAGCACAGAGGAGCACAGAGGAGCACAGAGGAGCACAGAGGAGCACAGAGGAGCACAGAGGAGCACAGAGGAGCACAGAGGAGCACAGAGGAGCACAGAGGAGCACAGAGGAGCACGGGAGAACGATGAGACATGAGGACGGAAAAAGAGAACAGCCACAGATCAAAGATTCGTTCCGACCGATGTGCAACAGATGGCAGCTTACATCGTGGTGGGGGCGTTGCTCTCAGGGCGCAAGTATGTGGCGCTGGGACGGCCGGCGCAGCCCCAGGCGGAGTGGAAGGAGACGCTGCTGCACTGGCGGCGATTGAGCGGCCACCTGCCCCACTTGATCGCGCCGTTCACAGTCGCAGGCGGGCTCCACACCGCGGCCGCGGGCATGTCGGAGCACCCATCATTGATGAACCCCGACGCTATGGACCCGAAATCCACGAGCGTGTCGTACGACTCAACGGGCGCGCTGCCGTCCGCCTGCAGCGTGCGACGAGAGGGGCGGTCCGCGCCCACACCCGCATGCGCATCGGGGGCGGCGATGACGAGGAGAGTGAGAGCAGCGAGCCCAGCTACGACCGCGGAGAGGCCAGCCTGAAGGGCAGAACGCGGCCCGGCGCGCGGCGCCATGATGGCGGCGGCGACGAGCGACGGGAAGGCGAGGCGAGGCGAGGCGAGGCGAGGCGAGGCGAGGCGAGGCGAGGCGAGGCGAGGCGAGGCGAGGCGAGGCGAGGCGAGGCGAGGCTGCGCGCTGCAGCGTGGCGACCCCGTGAGGTGCGGGCCGCGCTAGGTTAGCGCGGACTGCGGGGCCGCCGCCGCGGTGGCGGATGATACAAGGAGGACGAGCGCGGCGCTCGCTTGAAACGAAAGGGCGCGACGGGACGCACGGTGGCAGCGATGCGTTAGGGGGGATCGAGAAAGAGGGGCATTCAAGGGGAGCGAAGTTCGTGTGGAATGGCGAGATATGGTGACCGAAGAGAAAGGGGAGTCATGTAAGGGACCATCGCCACCACCACGAGACGGGGAGGTGAAGGGAGTGTGAACGAGGCCTTACGGCAGATCAGTCGACGTTGATAATTCAACGATGCCGCTTTTCGCAGGCGACATCTCGGCGTTGGCGCATCGCTATTGGCCAACTTTTAGAACGCGGTCGGGTACAAGCAGTGGCAGGGCGTAGAACACTGGGTGGGGCAGCAAATGACACCAGGTTGTTTGCGGCGCATTGTGTCAAACGAGTAACATCAGGTTCTGGGGGGACGTGTTGATTTGCGAGCAGGCAACTTCACGAATGTAACTGGTGGACAGCACATAACCAGTGGATGGCGAAAACATCGCAAGTCAGCAACAACTGGACACGAGGTCAGCGACGCAGTGTTTCGCGGTTCAATAGAGGGTCATCCGCAAAAGCAAGGTGACGCAGATTGTAACTAACACGAGCCCACGGATACGCCCTCGGACCCCCAGAACGCGTTCCTTGACTGGCGTCGTGTGGTCAGGGGATACGAACTCATGTTTGTAGAGGTATTATTGTAAGGCAATATACGGTACTTTAATAAACAATTCTGGAGGTATGGTGAGGTATGGTGTAAGGAATTTTCTGACATTCCTTACCGCGACCATCAGGGCCTATGTTATCAGGATAACATATCCTGATTCTCCTTAATTCAGGATAGGTGTCGTGTGCTTCTGCTGGAAAAAACAGCATAAGGGAATTACTTGTTATGTGGAATTGTCAGATGTTATAGCCTATTGTGGGACATGTTATATGGTGTACAAGCAATTAGGGTTAGGCATATGTACCCCAACCCAATCAATCCTACTCATTCCGCTATAGCCACATTCAGAGATGGTATCAGTTTAGTTCCTCGCTCCTAGGCCCTAGGTTAGTCTACGTTCCTTCCCTACCTCGCCGGACACGTCAGCGCTCTAGCGCGCTCCGCCCTCAGCCACCAGCCAGCCAGCCAGCCTCCCCCCCCCCCCCCCCCCCCCCCCCCCCCCCAACGCGCCACGCCGCCGGTCGACCTGTAGTGCGGCCCGTCCCCTTGCCACCCGCCCGTAGGCCCGCGCGTCGCGCTGCCCGTAGGCCCGAACGTCGCGCCCCTCGTCGGCCCGTGCGTCGCGCCGCCCGTAGGCTTGCCCGTCGACCCGCCGTGCCGCCCGTTGGCCCGCGCGCCGCGCCGCCCGTAGGCCTGCCCCGCGAACCCGCCGTGCCGCCCGTAGGCCCTCGCGCCGTGCAGCCCGCCCGTCGACCCGCCGCACCGCCCGTAGGCTTGCGCGTCGCGCTGCCCGCCGGTCGACCCGCCGCGCCGCCTGCCCGTCGACCCACCGCGCCGCCCGCCAGCCAGCGCACTACGCCGCCCGCCTGTCCACATGCTGCGCCACCTACCCGCTTGCATGCCTCCGCGCCTGCTCACGCGTTACTGACGGTCTCCCCCTCCCACGGCTGGCAGCCGCGCTCTCTCAGTTCTGCCCTCTATGGCGACCTCCCGAGTACTTCGTTTTGACCCTGAGGGGAGACCTATTGATTTTAGTATGTGGCTTACGCAGGCGCAGCGCCACCTTAAGAGCCAGCGGCAGGATGGCGTGCACCTGTTCGCACACGCGTCCGGCACTCAGACCGCCCCTCTGCAGCCTCGGCCGCTGCCCACTACCCCACCGCCTACTTCTGAGCAGGAGGCCGACTACCAGCGCCATCTTCTCGCTCGTGGCGTGTGGGAGTCTCGTGACGCAGCTGCCTGCCTCGCCCTCACCGACCTTCTCCCGTCGACAGAGGCAGTCCACTTCGCTTAGGTCGAGTCTGCTGCAGATCTGTATAAGGCTATTGTTGCTCGCTACTCCACTCCCTCCTCTGCTTCGCTCAGTCGCCTCCTCGTACCCTTTATCTACCCTGACCTCGCCTCCTTTGAGACTGTCTCTGACCTCGCTACCCACCTGCGCTCCCTTGAAGCTCGCTTTCGCGCTGCTTGCACTGAGGACCAGCTTGCCCTTGCCCCGCCCCCTATGTGGCTCACTATTCACTGGCTAGTCACTCGCCTCCCTGACCGCCTAGCCACAGCCCGCGACGCGCTTCTTCTGACGCACCCCACTGAGCTTACCATCGATCTTCTTGAGACCGCTCTCTCGAAGATCGAGAGTAACCTCCTCACTGTTGCCTCTGCCTCTTCCGCGCCTCCTCCTCGTCTTTTTGAGGGGTGTGCGGTACCACAGCTTCCCACCTTCACTGCCTCACTTGCCACCCCCACGTCTTCTGCCTCTGAGGAGACGGCGGCTGTTTCTGTCTCTGGCGGACAGAAACGTGGCAAGGCCGGCAAGAAGGGCGGGAAGGGCGGCGGGGGTACTGGGGGTGGTGCGGGTAGTGGCGGCGGCGGTGGGGCAGGTGGTGGTGGTGGTGGGGATGGCTCGGGCCCTCAGGGCCCTTCTCTCGACGGTGGAGTTTTCACTGGTGGTGAGGGGTTCCAGCAGCAGCAGCAGCAGCAGCCGACTTCTCAGCAGCTGCCACCGCCTGGACAGCAGCAGCGGCAGGGACAGCAGCAGCAGCAGCGACAGGGCCAGCAGCAGCGGCAGGGACAGCAGCAGCAGCGACAGGGCCAGCAGCAGCGCCCACCACAGCAGCAGCCTCAGCAGTGGGGCCCTCCGCAGCAGTGGGGCCCTCAGCAGCAGTGGAGGTCTGCGGGTCCACCTGGGCGCAGTGGCCCCCCCCCAGTCGGGGACCTCGCTCGACCGGCCGCGACGTTGGTCCCTGTAAGTACTGGATCCTTACGGGTCCTCGTCGGGACTCGTACTGTGGCCGCCCCGACCACTCTGCTGCACGCTCCAGAGACTCAGAGGTCTACGCAGGGTTACTGTTTCAGCCTGGGTTCTGGAGCTGTTTCGTGGAGGTCTACTCGGTCCTCCTCGGTTGCGACTTCTACCGCAGAGGCCGAGATCTACGCTGGGGCCCTTGCTGCTCAGGAGCTACGCTGGTTGACCTTTTTGCTCACTGACCTTGGTGAGCGGCCGAGCTCTGCACCGACCCTGTTTGCTGACAACAGGGCGATGATTCTCCTGTGTCGTGAGCCTCGACTGGAGAGCAGAGTGAAGCACATCGACGTCAGGTACTTCCTCCTTTGAGAGTTGCAGAGACGCGGGCAGGCTCGTCTGGACTTCGTGGCCTCCGAGGCCAACACTGCAGACATCTTCACCAAGGCCCTTCAGCCTTGTGACCACCGCCGGTTTTGTCTGCAGTTAGGCCTTGTTGAGACTGGGTCTAGTAGACTGCAGTAGTGAGTTCTTGCCTCTTGTCTTTGCTTGTACCGTATATATTTGCATATACACTCTTGAACTGGCCTTGTGGCCGCTGTTTGCGCTCAGACTGTGTGGTGACGTTGTGATCCACCTTGAGCTTTGTTTTGTCTTTTGTTTGTGACTGGTCTTGTGACCTTAGGTTGCTTGGCATTCCTCACTTAGGCTATGGGAGTGTGTCAGATGTTATAGCCTATTGTGGGTCATGCTATATGGGGTACAAGCAGTTAGGGTTAGGCATATGTACCCCAACCCAATCAATCCTACTCATTCCGCTGTAGCCACATTCTGAGAGAAATTAGTATAAAGGTTATCTTGCGTATTGGAAACTCAGGATAATCCTGTAGGTTCAGCCCTGATGACTCGGGATAGTGTCGAATCTCGCCCTGAAGCGAGATGTACTGCATGAAAAATCTTCAGGGTTTTGGGGCCTAAAATATACACGAGCAAGTACCTCAAATATAGGAGCCAGTGGGGATCGAGCATGCGATCTACTGTGTAACAGATTGCCGCTTTACCCGCTACCACACTTCACGGCAAGACGGGTTTGAGAACCACTTCAAGTTTTTTTTTTTTTTCTTCTTCTTCTTCTTCTTCTTTTTTTCTTGCGCCTCTTTGCTATGCCAGCCAATTCGACCTACAATGTCCACCATCACCTTCACCATCTGCATGTACTGTGTAACAGTTCCGCACCATCCAGCTGCCAGCGACTTGCACTGCCAGCCACTTGCAGCTGCACCCCAGCATTACACTTCGAATGTGGATACATTTTCAGCATTTCGATCCCCGCTAACATAACACGCGCGAAATACATGTGGGATTGTACGAAATGTAGCACTGAGCTGCCAGGATTCTGTCAAATGTAGCACTTACATTTCGGGATACCTCTCCCTGTGCAGCTCTGACAATTCAGGGCAAATTCTGATTTCCTAAAAACTGCCCTGAGGCCTCAGTGTACCCCCAAACGAATCTGAGGGCCTGGCGACCATCAACATCGCGTACAGCAACAGCCGTTGTTCGCCCGTTACTGCTAACAGGGCTTCGCCAACTTCGCGCGCACTGTTTCACCAGACCATCCACTGCTAGCCTGGCCGAGTCAGCCTACGCTTCGGAATGAGCCCCAACCTCAATGCCAGCCTAGCACTAGTTGTCAAACTACATATGTTTTATAATTAGGTATTGGCTGTAGTGGGGTAGCCAATGTAGGGTACAGCCCCTTTGGGTGTTCATTCTTGTACCAAACTCTCTCGGCACTTGAGTCATTCCTTCCTACTACTCTAACATGGTACTAAGAGCAGGAGGTCCTTAGGACCTTAGAACATTTTTTTTTTTTTTTTTCCGGGCCCACT